TTGCAGAAAGCACGCACCAGAGCTTCTGGATACATTGTTCTGCAAGGTCAGAAGTCTATTCCCACGATCGTAATCTGTTGCAGCTGCAGAGCTCCCGATTCAGATTTAGTAACAGTTTCACAGGCTCCTCTAGGGGAAGAACTTCTATTTGTTCTTTTCTTTTAAAGGCAGATCTAGCAACAAAGTTTCCTTTTTCAGATATTTTGTCAATATTTGTTCCTTTAAAATGCGAAGGAGAACAATGGAATCACTATGTTTCTCTTCTTTTAACTGTCTGTCAAAGACGTTTGCCTATAGTCAATGAACTTCCCAAAAACGTCAGTCCTGACACCCCGCTCCCAGGTTCAAGACGGTGGAGAATTACTTTTCTTTACACTCTCTTCTGCAGGTTTAAACAGTCCGGAAAAAATCCCCCCTCTTCTCCTGCTTCCGAAGGGGGTTCAACAATTTTAAATGATGAAAGTTAATCCTTTAGAAACGATTTTCTGAACTCTAGTTTGCCATGTCTTTGCTTTAATCTGTCTACAAGAAACGGGAGGCTGACTTCCTGTTTAGACCTTCCCGTTTCAGTGCCAAATTAAGAAAGATTTCTTAGTCCAATTTTCCTTTCTACTCACAAGTCTTTGTTTAAAGTCCAATTGTCCGAATTTAAGCTACTCACGGGTAGTTGTTTTAGTAGCCAAATTGTCCCAGGAAAAAGGCAGCGCTCTCCGGCAACGGCTGTGCGGCTTCGCTCCACGGAAGAAGCAGTTGACTCTCAGCACCGCGCCACTTCCCCCTCTTCGCTCCGGAGCCCGTAAGTGGGTTCCTTTACGGGTTGGGGGGGCGCTAAAGGTGCCCGCCGAGTCCCATGGTCACAGGCTTCATCCGCCTGTGATTTTTGAAAGGGTCCCCGCTTCGCCGTAGCGGGAAAGACCCGTTTTCCGTGGAGCTGGTCCCTCCGAATCAGAGGGAATCCGCCATTACCGATGGCGCCACCCCGGAAGTCCCCCACAACTTGTCGAAGTAGATTCCTGGATCGATTCCTGAGTAGTTTCTGTATAGATATTCACTTCTTGTCCCAAATCAGTCATTTTTTGTCCCAAATTATCAATTTTAATAGTCATCACATCCATCTTCTCGTGAAGCTGTTCCAATAAAGCACTTATCTTGCAAAATGCAATCACTAAGGCTTCTTCTGTCGACATTCTTGTCCAAGGTCAATCTCTGATTCTCACGTTCTTTTGTCTCTGCAGCTGGAAAATTCCCCAGCTCCACTCCTGCAACAGTTTCAAAAGCTCCCTCTAGAGGAAACAATTTCTATTTGTATCCGTCCTTTTAAACGCAGATCCAGCAACAAAGTTAATTTCAATCTTTCAGTTACTTTTGCTCCTTTTTGAATGCAAAAGGAAACAATGGAGACAATATATTTCTCTTATTTAACTATCTGTCAACATACATTTTATTCACAGTCAATGGACTTTCCCAAAACGTCAAACTTACTGACAGCCCGTTCCCAGGTTCAAAACGGTGGTAATTTGTCTTTCTTCACTCTCTCTCCTGCAGGCTTAGGCGATCTAAAATTTCCCCCCTCTTCTCCTGCTTCCAAGGGGGGTTTAATAATTTTGACTGATGGAAATTTAGTCCTTTACAAAAGGTTCTCCAAGACTTTAGCTTGCAGCATCCTTGCTCTATCTATTTACAAAAGAGGAAGGCGGACTTCCTGTCTGAAACCTTCCTGTTTCGGTGCCGAATTAAGGTGTTTAAAGGTCCAATTTTCCGTTCTACTCATGGGTAGTTGCTTAAAGTCCAATTGTCCACAGGAAAAAGTCAGCGCTCTCCGGCAACGGCAATGCGGCTTCACTCCATGAAAGAAGCAGTCGATTCGAAGCACCGCGCCACTCACCCCACGTCGCTCCGGACCCCCGAACCTGGGTTTCCACGCGAGTGGGGGAGGCGCAAAAGGTGCCAGCCAAATCCCACGTCCACAGGCTTCTCCCGCCTGTGGTTTTTAGTGGGTCTCCGCCTTCGCCGTGGCGGCCAGACCCTGATTTCCACGGAGCGGGTTCCTCCCGATCAGAGGAATTCCGCCATTGCCGGTGGCGCTAACCCGGAAGTCCCCAAATGCAGCAGTCTGATTGGTCCACAGGAGCCACCCAATCCAGCTCCAGGTGGAAGGGAATCCGCAACCTGATTGGCCTACAGGAGAATCCTGGAAATAGCCAATCACGTGGGGCCCATTGTATAAATAATGTATATACGGCAGACATTCTGGGGGAACTCCATTCCTCCTCACCACTATGAGCAGAATAAAGAGCATGAAATCCACTCTCAACTCCAAGTATATTTCATGCCCCAAAGAATCTATGCAATAATTGTTGGCAATGGAGGTTAATTGGGAGATGGGAAGAGGAAATGCAGAAGCTCCCCCCCCCCCGACTCTATGCCATCATTTGCACCAGCTCCTGCCAGGCTGAATTTTGCAAGCTGCACACACAACCTTCTTAACTTTTTAAGGTGCTCTCATTCACATGGAGAATCAAACCCTCCTGGGGTGGGGGGGCAGCCAAACCTAGAGAATTCAGACCAGTCCTGGGGGTGGGGGGCTGGTAAACCCTCTTGAGGAGCAATAAATGAGGCTCTCAGGCTGAAAAAGGTTCCCCACCCTGCTACAGAGCCTGGAGATAGCCCTTTTTAAAGAGAACTGGGAGACAGGCCTCTGTCAAGCACCTTTGGGAGGGATTAACAGCAATGCAGAAATGAAAACTGGTTTAGGAAGGGTGCAAATGGGATGAGAGTTCATCATGCTCACTCTCCTTAGCCACTTCCAACTCTCTAGAAAAAGTAGCACTGAGATGAGTGAGTTGAACTAGGCCTAGGGAGACCCGGGTCCAAGGTACCTCACTGCCATGAACATCCCTTGATGAACGCAAACCCTCCAACATTCCTCCAATGAAAATAGGGACACCCTAAGGAAAAGTGGAACATTCCAAGATCAAATCAGAAACGGGGACAGCTTCTCCAAATTAGGGACATCCCTGGAAAATAGGGACCCTTGGAGGCTCTGCAAACTTAGGCCTATTTCTCAGTCTAACCTGCCTCCCAGGATTGTTGTGAGGAACCCCTGTTTCTCTTTTGGTCCTCGTTTTCTGGTGATGCTGAAAAGTGGCCACCCTCTCAGAGGAAGATAACTTCTAAAAAGCTAGAAACTGTGTCTGATCCTAAAGAAGGTTAGTTTTTCCTTGAAACATGCCAGTGGTGAAATTTTGCATCTGGGAAATTTAGGCTAGTCAGTTCTTGTCATCCCCTGGTTTGAACTTCTGCCACGGCTTCGCTGAAGGAGGGAGGGGGACAGAGTCGCCTGGCAGCTGGAGTCTATTAACGTATCGAGCAGGTCTCAAACAACCCCTGCAGCTCTTGTTGATCGTTTCCGGAATGAATCCTGTTCAGCAAACCAGACCGAGATCCTGGCCACCTGCCTGGAATGCCAAGCCTGCATCTGCTTTCCTCTGACAGTTTCCACCCTGCTCCAAACTTCCACCTCCAACTCTGGGAGCCAGGAGGCAGCCGCAGCACTCCGCCATAGCCAGCAGAGAAGTTATTCAGATCACATTTGATGTGGAAATCTGATCTGATCTGCCTTTGAAATCAAACCATGCATTGTTGGTTTTTTGTTTTTGCCTTTGAGTGCATTGGCCTGGCTTTGATGAAGGCTTCTTCCGACTCTTCCTGTTAGTTGGACGATAGATAGATAGATAGATAGATAGATAGATAGATAGATGATAGATAGATGATAGATAGATAGATAGATAGATGGTAGATAGACAGATAGATAGATAGATAGATGATAGATAGATAGATAGATAGATAGATAGATAGATAGATAGATAGATGATAGATAGATAGATAGATAGATAGATAGATATAGATAGATAATAGATAGATAACAAGGGGCTCCTGCCCCTGCTAACTCCCCCTACCCTTCGCCAATGCCCCTTCCCCATGTGATTTGCAGAAACTGGGGTTCAGCTGCCTCTGAAACAGGAAGTAGCCATGGCTAGCCTTGTCCTCCATTAATTTGTCTGCCCCCCTCTTTTGAGAGCCATCCAAGGTGGCAGCCATTATTAACTTTTGTGGTAACAGAGCCAATTCCATGGTTAACTGCTATGTGGAGGAAGTAGCTCCTTCCGTCTGTCCTGAATCTTCCAATATTCAGCTTCATTTGTTGGCCTGGGGTTCTACTATTACAAGGCAGAGAGAAAAATATGCTCACTCTGTCTTGCCCCATGAGCAACCCCAGCTGCAGTTTCCGAACTGTCTTCAGAGTCCGCTCCATGTACACTGTGTTGCAATAATCTACTATGGAGCTGTGGGGACAGCCAGGATTGGGAGCAGAGTCTGGAGATTAGCTTTAGTGGAAAAACGTCCATTAAATTGAAAAATACCGTATTTTTCGCTCTATAACACGCACCCGACCATAACACGCACATAGTTTTTAGAGGAGGAAAACAAGAAAAAAAATATTCTAAACAAAACAGTGGATGTATGATTTTTGTGGTTCATGCTGTGGCCACAGACATGTGATCTGACAGTGAGTTTGGAGTAGCCCAATGCAAAAATCCTGAGGATCCATGTGGATCCATGCTTTATAACCATGTTTTTGCAGCACTGTGGCCCCAGGCAACAGTGGGTACGTGATTTTTTGGGTGCAAGATGTCGCCATGGACATGCTATGTGATCTGATGGTGAATTTGGGGTGACCCAGTGCAAAAATCCTGAGGATCCATGTGGATCCGTGCTTTGTAACCATGTTTTAAGTGGGGAGGGAAGGAAAAGCACTCAAGGGACAAGGAGCACGCGTGGGGTGGGTGGAGAAGGATGCTGCAAATAATGAAGAAGAGGGGTATAAGGGGAGAAGGCTCCTCTCCTCTCCCACTTTGCTCCTTTAAAGCAAGCAGGCTCTGCTTTTCTTCCTCCTCCCCGCTCATCCCCGGCTTAGTGAGCTGAAAAACTTTGCTGCTATGTAGCGAGCTGAGTGGGGAGGAGAGAGGGACAGAGAGCCTGCTTGCTTTAAAGGAACCAACTGGACAGGAGCCGCTTACACGAGTGTAAGCGGCTCCTCTCCTCTCCCGCTTTGCTACTTTAAAGAAGCAGGCTCTCTGTCCCTCTCTCCTCCCCACTCAGCGGCTCTTCTCCCGCTTTGCTGTTTCAAAGCGAGCCATGGAGGAGGGAAGGAAGGGGAACCATGGATCCTCTCCTCACGACTGCAGCAGATCCCCCCCGCCACCCGTAGGCATTACCTCCATAACACGCACAGACATTTCCCCTTACTTTCTAGGAGGAAAAAAGTGAGTGTTATGGTGCAAAAAATACGGTAATTAGGGAACAAGTACAGAATGATTACTTTGCACAGCCACCTTTGTTAATGATAAAACTAATGATTTACGTCACGTCACAGTGGTACCTTGGGTTACATATGCTTCAGGTTACATACGCTTCAGGTTACAGACTCCACTAACCCAGAAATAATACCTCGGGTTAAGAACTTTGCTTCAGGATGAGAACAGAAATCATGCTCCGGCGGCACAGCAACATAGGGTGTGGAACCCTATATTTGTTATACCTTTTCTTTGTATGTTTGCTTGCTGAGTGAGGGGAGTAGAATGGTGCGACTTCATTGAACAGATAACATCACCTGCTTATGTATTTACTTATTACTGAAAACCCAACAAACATTTTCAAGCAGGAGGAGATGGGCTTTGCTTTCCTAGTTGATAAAGATTCCAAACCATGTAATCCAATGTGCTTGGAGGGCAGAGTTTCCTTTGTATTCCCACATGTATTTATTGCTACTCAGCTCAACCCAGAAAGAAACCACTGGATCTTTCCCAAGTAGGCCACATCGCTGGGTGTCTCCTCTCCTGCAGTTATTTGCTGTGATAGCCTGAGGGACATTTACACAGAAGATGTTTAAAAAACCCTGCCCCCTCTGTAACCATAAACTGCTGTGGGTTTCATTCAGAAAATCAGGTCCCACGGTCCTTCAGAGCCGTACTCATTGGCTTCCACCAAATTGGACAAGGGACCTCCCTCTGGGCAGCAGCACTAAAGGCCAGCTTCTAGTTGAGGCCTGTCTTGTGGCCATGACTTCCATAACTTAGGTTGCAGTCCTAGGCACACTTACGAGGGAGTAAACTCCACTGAATGCAATAGGACTTGCTCCTGAGTAAAATCTCAGAAGGTTATGCCAGAGGTAAACTGCCACTGCCTTGCAGCTATGCTTAGGCGCGCCAACTCTAGGGGACCAAGATGTCTTCAGCCCCCTCAAGATTGGCTGGAAAGGGGCTGGGCCTCCTCCATGTGGACGCATGCACCATGTCAAGGCGCATCACAACTTCAGCGGTTGGCTCCTCCAGGATGCTTGGCTTCCTCCAGTGACGCAACGACATGCACACACAACATATGCCAGACCCCCTCATTCTGTGGGTCAGCGTGGTGCCTCTGGCTACTCTCATTTGTGATAATGGCTTCAGGAGTAAACCCCAAGGAGAAATCCAAAGCAGCTGCCTTGTGAGACATCTTTGGGAAAAGATAAGGCTAAGGAGTAAACCCAGTGCTTTTTTTCTGGAAGTACTTAATTGGTACACAGTACCTTTTCCCCTTCAAATCTTGTGACAAGGTAAATGGAAGGTGGGGACAGCAAGCAGGCACCCATGGCTGAAAGGGGGATTGTGAAAAGCAGGAGGTGGAAGCCGCCAGGAAAAGAAGGCCCTTGTTTGGGGCTGCAGGTGCTGCTCTCTGTCCACAGGTTGTCCTGTTCCCCTTGACTGCCCCGCAATACACACTCTCCCCCTGGATGCGCTGCTATGCCATTGCCTCACTGCACTGTGAGCAGCTGGTGAGCGCAAGCCCCATTTGTCTTTCATCTCTGCTTGCTCTTTCCATGCCTGTGGGGTAGGGGAGGGAGGGAGGGAGGGCGAGAGAGAGAGAGAGAGAAGGGGAGGAGACAGCAGCCTCTGCTGTTTCTGTGGCAAACCATGGAGGTGATCATGGTTGGTGCAGGTGGTGGCTGGGAGGAGAAGGAGGATGAGGCAGGGGAGGGATGGGGTGCTGGGTGAGTGTGAAGAGTCGATGAGACAAGGTGTGGGGAGAGACTGAAGAAGGGGAAGGAGAGTGCAAAGTGGGATTTAATTAATTGAGGGGGGGGCAGGAGAGAGAGAGAGAAGGCAAAGAGGATTATAGTGAGAGTCAACCTTCCACAAATCCAGAGTGGAATCCCTAAAGCCTTGGAGGCTTCTTTCCAGCAACTCCTGCTGCCAAACGTCTTGCTCTGCTTTCCTCTGGGCAACATCAGTGAAGCCAAGAGGGGGATCTTATCATCTGGGCAGCCCAGGACCTCTCTGCACACGGCCCAGGCTAACGCAGCAAAAACAACATGGGAGGCTGCAGTTATGAGTTCCCAGTCTCCAAGGCCTAGGGGTGGCATATGTCCAGAATTTTCCAGACATATCTGGAATAGTGTAGTCAGTAGCTGTATCCAGGCGGAAATCAGCCAAATGTCTGGGAAAATCCGGGTGTATGGCAGCCTGTATTGGCAGCGCCGCTCTTGCTGATTTTCAAAAAATAGCGTAATAACTTTGGGCAAAACTAAAAAACAACTTTGCCCTCCCCCCCCCCCAAAAAAAGCTCAAAAAAATTTCTGTCACTGTTTGAAATATGACAATCCTACTGCAGCCACAACAGACACTGTGGTTCTCCAGTGGTTTGGCTGTGAACCCCGGAGTCATGCTCCATTGCGTCTCAGGAAAGATGGATGCCCAACAACAACAACACCAGAGGCAGGCAATTGGTGGTCTTCCATTTGTTGCTGGACTCCAACTCCCATCATCTGTGACAGTCAGCTATGCTGGCTGGGGATCTTCTTTCTTTGATGAGCCGACTAAGATTGTCATTCATGAAAACGGTCTTAACAGTAAGTGACTGTGGAGGCCAATTCTGGATCCACATGTCCTTTCACAGTGGGGACACAGGTTTCTGGGTGGGAGTTGATCCCGGTGAGGGTTTACCAAACGTGCCTTTCTCTTAGCTCGTTTCTCCTTTCCACCCTGAGTTTGTGCTTCTTCAAAGTCCAGGACACCTTTGGTAAAGAGTAAGGTCACCAGAACTTCCATTGGTTACAAAAAAGGGTACATCTGGCAAAACTGCATACAAAAATATTAGGAGGAGTGTGCACTGAAATGTTGATGAATTTTCATGAGGTCTTGAAGAAGAAAAATGCAAACTGATGTGGAAAGAAAGAATGAGAAAGGGAGAGAAACTGAAGCTGACATGTGTGTCTGTTCCTGACTATGGCTCCCTCTTCTTACAAGGAAGATTTTGGAACAAGAAGAAAGGTTTGGGCCCCTAGACTGTCCTTCATCCCCCTCGGCAGGCTGGCATGTGCCTAGTGCAATTGTTTGTGCACTGCCAAAGTGATCCTTTGTGGACATGCAGGTCTGCCCTTGCATCCAGTCTATCTAAGTGTGCAAAGAAAGGGGCTGTTTCTTCAAGGTTTTTCAAGAAAATATCCTCACCAAAGTCAGGCCCTGGCGAGGGTGTGTGTAACAGCCTGAGGCTACGTTCCAGCTGGGTCACATACCTTGTCTCTGATGTAATCCTCCTTGCCACATTCAAGCTCAGAAAGACTTGCACTCTGTGGATTTTCAAAACCATTATTTTCATTATTTTGTTGTTGCTAAACAAAAATGGGGGGGGGAGGAGTCCAGACTTGCTTAAAGTTCTGCATACTTGTTTTTTGAAATACAGTACAGTAGAACCTCGGCTTACTTTAAGGTAAAGGTAAAGGGACCCCTGACGAGTAGGTCCAGTCGTGACCGACTCTGGGGTTGCAGCGCTCATCTCGCTTTATTGGCCGAGGGAGCCAGTGTACAGCTTCTGGGTCATGTGGCCAGCATGAGTAAGCTGCTTCTGGCGAACCAGAGCAGCACACGGAAACACCGTTTACCTTCCCGCTGGAGCGGTACCTATTTATCTACTTGCACTTGACATGCTTTCGAACTGCTAGGTGGGCAGGAGCAGGGACCGAGCAATGGGATTCGAACCACCGACCTTCTGATCGGCAAGTCCAAGGCTCTGTGGTTTAACCCACAGCGCCACCCAGTCCCTTGGGTAATGTAACCTTTGGGTTGCGAAAGTGGCAAATCCGGAAGTATCTTTCCGGGTTTCGCCGCTCATGCATGTGCAGAACAGGCACCTCCAGTTGTGGAAACCTTGGGATCCAACCGGAGCTCTGGAACGGATCCCATCCGCAACAAGAGGTACCACTGTACTATTTACGTCTACTCAGATGTAAGTACTATTAAGTTCAATGGGACTAACAAATGTAGCCTTAACCATGTCTACGCAGAAGTTTTATTGCCTGGGCAATGTTTTCTGAATGCTGTATGGAAAAGCACATCCTGGAGAAGAGTGACTAGTATTTATCATTACAAAAGACTGGCCATCATCTTATTAATATCCCTCCTGTATATACATGTTGACCTCCCTCCCTCCCGATTTCGGCCTTCTTAGTAAATCTTCCTTTTTTGCAGTTTCATCATTAATAATCTACACGTCGTAAGATTTATGTTATACCTGCTGTGATTTTTAAGCTTCTAAAATTTCCTTCAATATATGTTATAAATTTACTCCAATCACTAATAAACTTTGTACCTTTTTGGTATCTAATCTTTTGTGTCATTTTTGCTAATTCCACATATTCAAATAATTTTATTTGCCAATCTTTGACAGTTGGGGTGTCTGGGTTCTTCCATTTTTGTGCTATTAATATCCTGGCAGCCACTGTCGCATATTGGAATAATGTCTGATCCTCTTTTTTAATTTCATCCCCAATTATTCCCAATAGGAAGGCTTCTGGTTTTTTAGAGAAGGTATATCTAAATTTTTTTTAATTCATTATATATGAGTTCCCAAAACTTTTTGATTTCTTCACAAGTCCACCACATATGGTAAAAATTCCCTTCTTTGATCTCACATCTCCAGCAGGCTTTATTTCTGGTTTTATACATTTTTTCTAATTTCACCGGTGTAATGTACCCTCTGTACATCATTTTTTCCAAATTTTCTCTAAGCGTAACACAAGCCGTGAATTTCATTCCTTTATTCCATAATTTCACCCAATTATCATATTCTATAT